AATGTTTTAAAACATTTTATTAAATCAAGTTAAAAAACATAAAAATCAATAAAAAGCGATTTTTTACCATCCCTAGTCGTATAATAATTAAAATCATTATAACAATTTTATTGTGTATTTCGTGCCGAGTTAAACTATATAAATATTCATCCACTATGCGCAAACTTTTTAGTCAAAATTTTGGCATCGAATAAGAAAGAAAGCACTAATTAATCAAAAATTCTAAAAATTAAAATTTATTTCACTACTTTACGTTATCGATGAAATACTTGAAATTAGATAATATTTTAATGTCAAAGAAGCAACGCAAAAACAGAACGTTAGCATGTTTGTAATATCAAATATCGTTGTGAAATTTGTCGTTGAGGGTGGAAGTAAACGAATTATATGTATGTAATAACAGTGTTTTATTAAATTATTATTGCAATTAGAGTATTTACTGCAGAAAATAATGTGTTCTATTCAAAATTAATTACGATATAACGAAATATTTCGGTCACATGTATAATACAGCATGAGCGACGCTCAAGGAAAACTAGACTTTGACTTCGGCTTTTAAATCTAATACTTACCCTAAAAAATCTGAAGAATTTAATCCGGCATGTTATAAATTTAAGAATCCAAAGGTTTTTATTTTTCTTAGTATCACTTATATAAATCATCACTTTAGTTCAACGCAAACCTTCTATTTTGACTTTACGCATCTCCAATTCAAATTTCAATTTGATGCAACTCAGTTTAAATTTACGCTGGTAGTCCGTGCTGATCCGGATCTACCCGATAAAATATTTGATAAAAATTCATGTGAAAATGTCGAAACAAAACTCTGATCATGGCGGTCTTTAAATATTTTAATCTTTATAATTTTTATTTAACCAAGGACCTAACCAATCGAATTAATAAGTCATCTTTATACCATCGAACTTGGTTTACTAGCAAAATTCTTTTCGGTACAGCTTGTGTCCATCAAAAGATTTTATATACTTCACTTCCTTCATCCAAATCTCAAAAGTCTAAGCAATATTTAGTGTTTGATAATAAAACATCCTTTAAGGATTTTCTACAAGTAGCTTCGTCATCAAAAGCTCAAAATCATGATTTATATAAAAAAAAAGATAATAATGATTTAATAGGAATAGCGGATCAGATTCCCTATTTGAAAGATGATATCAAAACACTAGGGATAAATACAAAATATTATATAGAAGTTTATGGATGTCAAATGAACGTTAATGATACTGAAATTTTAATGTCAATATTGAATTCTTCCGGATATCAAAAAACTGATCGTTTAGAAGATGCTGATATTGTATTTTTGGTTACGGTAGTAACGAAAAAAACTTTTTCAAATAAATCCTTTATTGTATTTTATTTTAATTATTCTGACTTGGTTTGTTTATAGTGTGCTATTAGGGATAAAGCTGAAAATAAAATTTGGCATCGGTTAAATGTATTAAAAAGTATGAAAAAAAATCAAAAGCCATTAATCGGTGTATTGGGTGTAAGTTCTATTTTCTTTAAAATAATGGTGTCACAATTTTCATAGTTAATTCGCTTATTATTTATCAGTGTATGGCAGAACGTTTAAAAACAAAATTACTCGATGCTGATAAAATGGTTGATATTGTTTGTGGTCCTGATGCGTATCGCTCAATTCCTCATTTGTTATCATTAGCTGTTCAAACTTCTGAGAGTGTTGCTAATGTCATGTTATCAGCTGATGAAACTTATGCTGATATAATGCCAGTTAGGTTGCATCAAGGCCATGTTAGTGCATCTTTAAGTATTATGCGGTTTGTATAAAATTTAAACCTGTGTGCATGAATTTGTTTTTAAAAACCATTTTTTTCTATGTGTGTATACTTTTCTATCATCAGAGGTTGCAATAACATGTGCTCATTTTGCATAGTGCCTCATACAAGGTACTATTTTGTCTAAATTGTCATTCAAGCTACACATATTATGAAAAATTATATCTGATGCACTGTTTTTTTTTTTTTTGTATTTAATTAACTTTAGAGGTAAATAGTAACAATAATAACAGTAATTATACAGTTTATTAAATCATTAATTTTGTTAATTCAACCTAAAATAATCACACAGGTATTGAAAGAAGTCGCCCCTTGTATCCATCTATTGTTGAAGAGATCAAAACTCTAAGTGATCAGGGTGTTAAAGAAGGTTAACACTTTTTAAATTGCGACTTATTTCACATTTCTATGATTATACTAATTACTATATATTAAATTCAGTTGTTCTCCTTGGGCAAAACGTTAATTCATATCGAGATACAAGTGAATATGACTTTTATAAACCACTTGGTCTTGGTAATCAGCTTAGTAACGATGGATTTAAAACTATATATCGTCGAAAAGAGGGTGGTATAAGATTTACTGAATTGCTTGATCATGTATCAAAAATTGATCCAGAGGTATTTTATTATACTACTAGTCATTTATTCTTTCATTCCATAAAATCTTCCTAATTATAAATTTTGAATAAAAGATGCGAATACGTTTTATATCACCTCATCCAAAAGATTTTCCAGCCGACCTATTGAAACTAATCGCAGAACGACCGAACATTTGTAACCAAATCCATCTACCAGTACAATCTGGAAACACGAAAGTGCTAGAACGGATGCGGCGTGGATATTCACGTGAGGCGTAAGCTTTGCGATATTAATATCTTACACGTAGTACAGTTGATACTGTCAAATTCTCTGTTAAATCTATTATATAATTGCATCCTACTATTATTGTAAAAAAAACAAATATTTTATACAACTAGACAGATAGATAGTATCAGCTGTATTTCCAAATTAATTTCAATGTCTACAACAAATTTTGATATTGATAAATCTTTCAGATATTTAGACTTAGTTAATACCATCCGAGATATAATACCTAATGTCTCTATTAGCACGGATATCATAACTGGATTTTGTGGTGAAACAGAAGAAGAACATCAAGATACTGTAAGCCTAATGGAAATTGTAAGTTGTCATTTTGAAAAATCTCTAATTGAAATTCTCTAATATATTTATAAATCGTTATTATATTATTTTGATAAGGTTAAATTTGATATGGCATATATGTTTGCATATAGGTAAGCAAACTCTAATTATATTGTTGTATCAAAATAGTTAATAAATTTTATTTTTTTAATTATTCATAAACTCAATATATAAACAGTATGCGTGAAAAAACACATGCGCATCGAAATTATCTTGATGACGTGCCCGGAAATGTCAAGACTCGCCGATTAAACGAAATAATTCAAACTTTTCATACAAATGCAAAAATTAAATTGAACACTTTATTAGGTATTCCACAGTTAGTTTTAGTAGAAGGTATTTCAAATCGTCATAATGAAAGACTTAGAGGACGTACGGATGGAGGGCACAAAATCTATTTTGATAACGTTCGAGTACTAGAGAGCATAAACAATCAAATGTTGAATAGATCAGATAGCTGTCACATGTTGAATATAGATAATCAAAAAATTGGTGTTAAGATTGGAGATTACGTTATTGTCGTACCAACATCAACCACGGGTGCTACTTTATACGGTATACCCATAGCTAAAAGTTCCATAGCTCATTTTAGTAAGCTAAACTATAATGAGAATAGTGGTCAGCAATTACAATATTAAATGATTTTCATGTTACGTAATCGATATTCTAGGCAGTTACGTAATATACAGTACAGTATACATATATATGACGTTAAAAAAAAAGGG